CTTCTTGACCTAGATTTGGGATGCCTGACTTCTCATGAGAAGTCTGTGCAGCATCTGAATGCAAGAAATTGTCCAGCAGATGCTGACATTGGAGTATCTAGGGGTGACCTGATGGTCCACAGGACACACATACTCCGAGTAGGACGACTGGAGAGAATCCTGGAGGAATGGCTGGGGCCTCAGGCTGCTCAGAGATGGAACCCACTTGTACAGATGGATGTGAACGGAGCAGCAGCTCCAGGGGAAAGCCAAGAGGACGGCTTTGTGTGTCCTGTGTACTGTGCTGTCAGCCAGGCCAGACTGATGGCGAAGGGGATGCATCCTGGGGTGGCAGGGGCAGGAGGGGCCGGTGCAGAGCCTCTGAGTGTGTCTGCTTAACATCACCCTGCCTGCATGGATGCAGCTTTGTGACCAGCTCTGCAGGGGCTGCATGCTGGGCCCCAGGGTGCCAGGGGTCTGAGCTGGCAGTTCCTGGCTGAGTTAGAGGCTGATTTAGCCCAGAGGGACCCCGGGGCTGGGGGGCAGAGGAGGAGAGAAGCCAGCTGCCTGTAGAGACCTGATGAGAAGTGCAGTGCCGGTGGGAGTCCCAGGGGCAGGCCCCCAGGCTGCAGGCCAGACAAGCCGGCCAGCCCAGCACCCTGCAGAGGTCACCCTGGAGAGCAGGTCCTGCCCAAGCAATGGAGGAAGAATAACCTGTGTCCTGCGTTGTCCAGTAACATGGCCACTCACCACAGGTGGCTATTTAAATTTAAAAAGGAAAATGAAATAAAAATTTCAACTCCTCAGTCTCATTAGCCATGTTCCAAGTCATGTGTGGCTTCCAGACTGGGCAGTTTGGATACAAGACATTTCAGTCATCACGGGGAATTCTATTGGAATGTAAATGCTTTCATTAATATTTTTTATATTTATTACATGTTGAGATAATATTTAAAATATATTGAGTTAAATAAGCTATGCTAATAACTTCACCTGTTCCTTTTTATTTCTTGCTGTGGGTAGTGGGGACTTGCCAGTTACCCGTGTGGCCCCTGGTTCTCTGGGACTCCTCCGTTAGAGATGGATATGGGTCACACACCTCCACGCAGCCATCGTTCTTAATGCCCATCTATTCCATGGTATTCCATGTGATGACGGTTGTGAGAACCCTTCTTAACACACATGTTACAGAGTCAGCCCTGGGTGATGGGACAAAGGAAGCTTTGGGGCTGGAAAAGTTCAGGCTTAAGCCTCAGCCCCATCCCCCTACTGGCTGCACGATCTGAAGCAAATCATTGAACCTCTTTGTGCCTCAGGTTTTCATCGGAAACATGCCATCAATGAATGAGCCGCCACATAGCCTTGCTTTGGACATTAGAGAAGATTGTGAACATAGAGGGACAGCACAGGGTCCCAGAACACCTCAGGAAATAGTGGCCACTGTTACTATTATCATGGTCATGAGCAGTTAGAGCAGAAAGGGTAGGGCCATGGTCAGTCTCCCTGGCCTCAGACCACTCACTCCCCTGCCTCAGCATTCCTGCTCATCGTCCTTCCCAGAGATGATGGTACAACAGGCAGCTGTCAGCACCCTCTCCCAGCCCCACCCAAAGCCCCTGGGCATGACTCAGGCACTCACCTGCTGGCAGCTGCTGGCCCAGGAGGCCCTGAGGGTGCCCTAGCCCTCAGAGCTCGCGGCCTTGCTCTCCGAGTGCCTGCGCAGCTGTGCCTCCAGCTCCTGGCTGACTTTGTCCAGGGCATGCACCTTGGTCATGTATTCCACCAGGCAACCCCTCAGGTCCTCAGCGGCACTGAGGCCCCTCTCCAGGCCTGGAGCTGGTACTGTGGCTAGGCCTGAGCTCCTCAGGCCCTGCAGGAAGACAGTGCTGATGCCTAGGGCCCAGCAGGTCACATGGGCATCCACGCCACCTGCACACCCACTGGGCACCATCCCTACATAGACTCTGGGCACTCGGACCAGACCACCCACAGCACTGGTCCTGGAGGCCGAGGGGCTATCCAGGGAGGATGATGTCCGTGTTCCCCTGAAGGAAGCCCTGTGCCCCTGGAGGGGCATGCTGGAGCTGGCCCTGGTGGGCATGTCCACCACCACTCGCCTTGTGCTCATCACAGCCCAGCTTCTGCTGTGCCTAGTGGGTTTGTGGAGTCCAGTGGCTTTTGGTTTTCAGCCCCAGCATCCCTGTGGCCCTGTCATGTGACTCTCTGGAAGCTCCCCCATCCCCACGGCTGCTTTGTCTGCTGTTTTCCATGAATTCCCATCATTCGCTGAGCTGAAAGGGTCCACCCAGGACTCTGCAGAGAGGCGTTCTTGCATTCCCTGCAGGCTCATGGGCCTGACCGCCCAGATTTTTCTGCCGCTGGTGGGGGAGCCTGGGTTGGTCCAGGCTGTGGGATTGGCTCATCTGGGTTTGTGTTTGTCAGTGCCTGAGGGGGCAAGGTGGGCACCAAGCATCCCCGCTTCACAGGTGAGTAAATTGAGGCTCAGACAGCTCCGATCACAATTTCAGGGCGTGGCTGAACCAGGACTGAATCCAGGAGTTCCAGGGCTGATTTCAGCTCTTCCCACATCCTCACATGGGCTGTGTGTCAGTGTGTGAATGTGCATGTGTGTCCTTGCAGGGAAAGAGGGACGTGGATGTGAACGAACCATGGTGGAGGCAGCTCCAGGGATTCAAGAGAAACAAACCAAGCCTGTTGCTTCCTTCGTCCTTCCTTGGTCAGGGCAGCTGCTCAGGTCCTTCCCTAGCATCCTTCTTCCCTGAAACACTGCAGTTCATCAGCTGCTTAACCTTGGCCACATTCTTTCACCTCTTTAGACCTTATTTCCCCTGCGCTGGCCTGGGGTCTACCTCTCTAATGCACTAGACAAGGGACCTCAGATAGGTTCACGTCCCACACATGTGGACACTTAATACACTCCAGCCATTCCCTACAACTCAGTTTGCCTATTTTCCAGGAAACTAATAAAAACAGAAAGGTTTTCCAGTAAGCTGTGTAGGGTACTCCAAGTTAGGATTGAATGTACTCCCTGGGTTTTAATTCCTGCCGTAAGCATCCTCTGAGACGTGTTGTCACGGACGCACCTCCATCACTTGTCCAGCCCCAGAAAGGATCCTCCAGCCCCCAAGGTAACAAAGTGGATCCTAGTACTACTGCATTTAAGCTTTACTCTAGAGAAACCGAGTAACCAAAACCCAGAACCGATATCCACCGCTGACCCTGCACCGCGGGAACGTGCCTGAAGCGAGAGGAGGGGAGGGGCTGCCGCCAGTGAGCTACGAACCCGTATGGTGCTGCGCTCGGTTTCCATGCTGGACTGCCCTGCCGTCTCCATTCCCGCAGGAGGTAGGTACAGGCGTGCTGCCGTCCGGCCTGAGCACTGCACAGCTCCGAAGGCTCACCCCGTGTGCTACGACTGGTCAGTCTCTTTATGTGATGAGCCCCTGAGAGCTGCAGTGACCTGCCTGAGGTCGCCTGTCCAGAAAGTAGCTGAGCTGGGATGAAAGGCCTCTGACTCCTAGTCTAGTTATTTATCTAGGACCCCCACCCCACCCCGTCTCCTACCACCTAGAGGACAGGGGACCCACCCAAGGTCACACAGGCAGAAAAGCCCCGGTCACCTCCTGGAATGTTCTATGTGCTCTTCCTTCCTGATCAGGACACCACATGCTTCCTTTTCTTTGGTTTCCTCCCTTCTTCTTTGTGTGTTGAGCTGACAGAGGGTACTTTATAAACATCAGTGTTGGTTAGTTATCCGACAGGATAAGAAACCAAAACTTGATCTAGTAAAGGCTGGCAGTGCCCCTTGTTTATTTAGATGTGGCATTCTTGCTGTGAACACCACCTGTGGTGCACCTTAGGGGCCCATGTGCCCTCGAGACTATTATAACCACAGCCTCCTAACACAGGTGACCCCTACTAGGTCCTGAGGAGATGCAGGAATTCCAAAATGTAATGGAGATAGTGTCTCTCTCTCTGGAGTAATTCAGGTGGGCTTATCGCTCATTTTATAAAATTGTGGTTCCCTAAGCTTGGGAACAGCCTACTGCATATGCAGGATCTAGCCCTCTTTATGGGGTCCCATAGGGGTTCAGGTCCCTCGGGCTCACAGAACCAGTGCAAATGCTGATAAACTGAAATTCTACTACTGTTGCTCTGAGTACTAAACTGTTCTTTGTCTCTGAACTAGGAGTCTCATAACTTCTGCCAGCATCCATGAAACCATGTCATTGCTGCCTTATTAGCTTGCAAGTGGGGTAAAATCTCAGTCCCCTCACTGTTTCAGCACCCACACGTTCCTTTAAGAATCCAGAGCTCTAAGATACATTCATCCCTGTTTTTTGCAGTTCTATTTACAATAGCCAAAATATGGAAGCAACCTAAGTGTCCATCAGTAGATGAATGGCCTAAGGTATGGTGCATATATATAATAGAATTGTATCAGCCATAAAAAAGAATGAAATCTTGTCATTTGTGACAATATGGATGGACCTACAGAGTATTATGGTAAGTGAAGTCATTTAGACAAATTACTATATGATTTCACATTTATGTGGTACCTAAACTATAAAGCAAACACAACAGAAATAGACTCATAAACACTGAGAACCAAAACAGTGGTTGCCATAGAGGAGGGGGATTGGGGCATAGGCAGAATAGGTGAAGGGGAGAAAGAGGGATAAACTTCCAATTATAAAATAAACTAGTCACAGAGATCAAAAGTACAGCATGGGGAATACAGTCAATAATATTGTAATAACTTTGTATGCTGACACTTGGTAACATCATAGCGAGCATTTTGTAATGTATATAAATTGTTGAAACTTATGGTGTACACCTGAAACTGACATAATATTGAATATTAACTACAATTTTTTAAAAAAGACTTTATAGTTGTAACTAGGAAAAAAATAAGAATCCAAAGCTCTAAAAGACCAAATCTAGTTAGCAAAAAGCCCTCGTAGCTCACTCTATACAAACACAAGACCCAGTAAACATCATTCTGTTGGAGAACAGTTTAATAGTCTACAAATTGATGCAGTTTTGTCATATTTTGAATAATTTTATGTAACAATATTTTGAATCATTTTATAGTAACAGTAAAATTTTGAATAATTTTATAGCAACATTTTGAATAATTTTATAGTAACAGTAACATTTTTGAATAATTCTGTAGTAAAAGAAGACACACAGAGGAAAATAATTTCCCTGCACAGTGAAATTTTCATACACTATATGGAAATTTCCCACATCTGACCAGTTCTGGCTCAGAATAATAGATAGCTAATATATTTAACTAATTTCTTCCTATTACTTTTTAAAATGAAGTTAACTTTTTACTCTTTGAAGTAAAATAGTAATTGGGAAATTAGGACTTATTCCTGGCCCAAAGGAGAGTACAAAATACGTGGCTTCCTGGCAGACAGTTTTAACAAGTGCATCAGACAACAGCAGTCGGGGTGAAGCCTTGCATGCAGTCTGCCAGAACACCAGCAGCCCTCACCCTTGCCACACACATGGCACATGGCACACTAAACAACCCACAAAGGATGGAGAATTCCAAATAATCCTTTCAAATACTAACAGGTCTGTTTTTCCTTTTGTATCTGTGCCTCAAGCCCACAGAAACAAGGTGATGGTGGCACTTGAAGACGATCAAACTCCTTGACTGTCCCTCGGCCACCCAGAAACCACTGGCACAACGTAAGCAGACTCAGCTAAAATGGGATCCAGACAAGATTAAATGCCCTTCCATGGTGAGAAATGAACAGATCACCCTTTACTCCTGGAGAGATGGGGGAATAACATCAGAAAAGGATCCAGATACAGTAGGACAAACTAGGCTTTTCTCGGACCACCCAGGCAGGTTTTGAATGGCCCTAGCTAGGCAGATGACACAAAACGGAAGGACAAAATGAGGGAAGGGAGAAGGCTGGATGGAGGCTGGCTTTGGGATCTCAGGCCATAATTCTCATTTATCTAGAGTCCTGGAGTCATCCAGGGAACTCAGGAAGGGTGATTTGCTCTACTTTTTAAAACAAACTTCTTCATCCTGGTTTACCAGGTGCTTTCCAGGTGCCTAAAAATACAATTCTATTATGGTTCTATTTGGCTAATAACTTACAGAGTGTTTCAGATACCAGGTGAGTGAACATCTGTTCATGGCTTTGGTGGAAGGGCCTGAGAAACAAAACTGACAGGAGATTCTTCCCCAGTACCCTCTCCGGGACACTGCAACAAGTTGCTGCTCAGATTTCTAGGGTATTTGGAAATTCTCTTCTTCTTCTTGGATGATCTAAAATGCCGTGTGTGCAGAGATAGCTGAATCACCTCAATAAGACCATGTCTAAAAGTTCATTTAAAAATCTAACCACAGATGTATAAACTTACTCATTACCCAATTTGCAAACAAATCCCTGCTACTTCTGACAATGACTCCAAGGCAATTTTCTTCACTCTGACTTCTAAGTGGAGCAAAGGTGTACCAGCAAGGCCAGAAACATTCCTAGGTTGGCCAAGGACAAGTTAAGACTCACAGGCCCACCATCCCCGCCAGTGCTGAGCTAGGCGGCTTGATGCAAGGGAGGGGTGCGGCTGTAGGGCTCACTGCCCCAGCTGCATGCACTCCCAGGATTTTAGGAGGCTCAGCCAGTGAAAAGGAGTCAATGAAAGCACAGTCTGGAACAAAGGACTCCCAACAGAGTGAATAAAAATGGAACTGAAAATCCACCGTGCCAGCTCGGTACTTCTTACTGCAACTGCTACCAGTGAGTCAAAACATGGCTTAGAAGCAGAGCTGGGCCCAGTGAAGAGTCTGCAAGTCCCACGTGCCTTTGGGTTTCACCGACCACACTCTGCAGCCCCTGCTGCCCGGGGCCCCCAGCTGGGCATAAAGTGAGGAGGTGGAGAACAGACACCGGCTGCCGTGCCCCCAGCCGGGCTGGCGGGGGTGAGAGGGCCGCCCCCTTTCTGCCACAAGACTTAGGCCATGGGGCCCTCCGCACAGGCTGAAAGGGCAAATGCCAGCCCACCTTTTTTTTTAGTAGCATCTTCTCATTGACACATCAAGAGATATTGACCTCTGGCCTCAGGGTGTGAGATGCAGGGCAAATTTAGCCTCTTCTGTGCATATTGAAGTGATGCCTTGAAGTCTTGCCAGTGTGTGGCCCTCCCTGAGCGCCTGCCACCTGGGATGGGGGTGGGGGCAGCATAATGAAATGCACAAGGCAACAGCACCCCAATTTCAATCAGATCTTTTCCCACCTGACCCTTTGTTCAGTTCACAGTGCCCTGACCTGCTGGAAGCTGGCCTCTGTGAAGCCAGAGATTTCTACCACCAAAAAGGAGGTTATCTGAGTCCAGTGTGACAGCTGATTTCCTCCTTATCTGCGATTTGGTGAAGCTCTTAACTGTGAGGTATTTTTTAATGTGTAGAAGACTGAAAGTGGAGGGAAATGACAAAAAAAAAAAAAATTAAAAACAGACAAAAGCATTGTACCTTATATACTGGTTTCTTCAAACATAATGCCTGCACAAAATCTGGGCGAGAGAGAAACCTGTGAAATGAACATAGGAACTAATCCTGGGGCGCTCCCTCCCATGCTGGCTTAGAGATCTCACACACACAATTCTCTCCTCATTTACAAGGGGCTAGCCCTCAGCAAGTGGGCAGGACTTCCAAAGGGCTCACCATTAAGGAAGCTCATACAGGCACAAGAAACCCTGAGACTTGCCTCTGCAGGAGCGACTCCAAAGTCACAGACCCTTGAGAGCTCCAGGGAAAGACGGCACAGAGGTGGGCAGAAGAGGCCTGGTGCCCGCACCAAGTTCCTGTCCCCAAGCACACTCTGCCAGAACAGGGCACATCTCCATCAGGCCCCCAGCTGCCTGTAAGGGAGCCTTGCAGGGGCACCCAGAATGCTGTCAGTGTACCAGGAGAAAATCTGTGTCACTTATTTCCAAACTTGGCTCTGGTTGACCAAGTAAATTCTTCCCTAAGATACAAGGCACATGTTAGAGCTTCCTTCTTGCCATAATGAATGTAAAATGTGCAGCCATTCTACAGAACTTAGGTTCTGGGGCTGAAGGAAGTCTTGAATCATGGTGGGTGGGGGGGTGGGAGTGGTGGTGGTGGGGTGTGTTGTGTGTGTGTGTGTGTAGTTTTAAATCATGCTGTGTGTGCAGGGTGTAGGGGTGCTGGGTATCAGTATTTCCTAAGGTGTGTGTGTGTGTGTGTGTCTGTGATTCATGGTGGGGGTGGGGTGGGTGGTGTGTCTGTGTGTGTGTCTGTGTGTGCACAGTTTTAAATCATGCTGTGTGTGCAGGGTGTAGGGGTGCTGGGTATCAGTATTTCCTAAGGGGAGGGAAAGAGCCAAATGTGTCGGCAGCTGAAAACTCCCTTCAGACGACACTGTGAAATCCACTCAGCATAAACCTTCCCTCTGAAGCATGTACCGTTCCCAGACGGGACTGGAGCATTCATTCAATTGCACGGATGCAATCTGTCACACTCCACACACTTGCTGGAGTGTTCTCCTGAGTAATCTGATGAAGGTGTGGCACTGGAGAAAGGCCACTTGGAAAGTACACATAGCAGACAGGTAGGGTTCACTTCCCGGGTTAAAGGAAAGGCACCTCCCCACACACAGAAAGTCGCCTGCCTACCTCTTCCCTCCCCACCCCCCTGAGGCCCCGGGAATGAACTGGCAGCCTTCACATCCTGCAACTCTGGCTCCTCATCCCTGCCAGGTCTGTAAGACGCTCCAGCTAGAAGTGGTGCTGGTGCAGTGCTGCAGACGAGGGGCTTTTCTCCAGTCTCTTGACATGGCAGGAGTGACAGAACAGGTGGTCTTCCAGGGGGTAGCAGCGGTGACCGTCTTCATCATTGAGCTCCAGACCACAGTCCTGGGGTGAGGCAGACACAGAAGGTAGTAGCAACATTTAAGGGATCGCAAGACTGACAGGAAGGTCAAAGTCCCGCCTACCAGCAGAGGGTGCTGTGTGACTCTGTACAAGCAGAACAGGCCAGGGCAGAGCCGCGCAGCTCCTGCCCAATGATGGTCTAGACAGCGCCGCCAGACCATGTCCCTGTGGAGCCCTCAAAACGGGGCTGGTCAGAACTGAGATGAGATGTCAGTGTATACATGCACCAGATATCCAAGACTTAGGATGAGGATACACAATATCTCATGGAAGATTCTTACATTGACTACATGTTGAAATAACATTTTGGATATACTGGTTGAATAAATTATTGTAAGATTTATTCTACCTGCTTTTTACTTTTTTAATGTGACTACTAGAGAACAAGATTACACACATGACTCGGACTGGTGGTTCTCAGATTTCTGCTGGACGGAACTGTCAAGTGAATGTCTTTATCACCTTTCCCTCCAGCACACGGGTACTACTGATGGTGACTCCCATCTACATCTTCAGTGCTGGCAATGGGTCAAGCCTCACTCAACCCACCCCACCCATGACTGTTCACCCTACCCACCACCTCACAAAATAAATCTACTGTCCTTCCATGGGTGAGTCCACGTAATTCTGGCAGAAACTCCATGGACACTTAAAGTGTGTTTGCCCCTTTCACAAAGACTGGTGAGAAGTGACCCAAGGAAAGAGAAGGGGCAGATGCACCCCCACCCACCTTCATACCAACCAGGGATATGCCTATTTTTAAGGGGAATTTCTCATGGTTTCCAGGCACTGGCTGAGAAGGGGGATCTTGGCAGACTGAACAGCCAAGAGCTGGAGGAGAGGGAATGTATTTCCCAAATCACACTCCTGACAATGTGGTGCGTGAATCCACACTCCCTATAACTGTCCTGCTCTGCAGGGTGGTCATGACAGTTTCTGGACTTGGGAGCTATGAACATGGGAAAATCATAAAGATACCCTCAGATCCACATCTGCTTCAGCGTCCCCCTCCAAATCAGGCTTCACCCCACTTCCTCCATTCCGGAGGGCAGCCGTGCCCACGTCTTGCTGACCAGCCAGTCTGGGAGGCCTTTTCTGGACTCCTAAAATGGGCTCTGGGGTCCTGGGCAGGGAGGCCTACCTCACAGTGGTAACACTCCACGTGGTAGTCTCTGTCCATGGACACAACTCGGATGGTCTCATCTGAGCCCTGCACCAAAGGAAAACAGGAGTGAGAGGCTAGCTGGGGGGCCTGTTGGGCTGCACATGCCATGGACGAGGTTCTGCAGTAACAAGGCAGTGGACTCAGGAGAGGAACATTCCACTGGTGGTGGACACGACACTGCTAAGAAAAAGGCCACCTCTCCAGCAGATGAGAGGACGTGGGAAGGAGAGTAGTCCTACCTTGTGGAATGTGAGAGCTAACAACGAAAATACCACCTATGTTTAAGGTTCATTCTTAAACAGATTAATATAGGAGTTTGTCAGTTTGTCAAGTCAAAGAGTTGGACCTGATTATGGGGACAAACATCACAAGAAGGGCACTGAACTAAGGAGAAGGGGCTTTTGGTGAGGACACCATTTATTTCAGAGCTGAGATTGTAGAAGGATTTTTTAAAAGGTGTAAAAATGGGACACAGATGGTTGAAATGAGCTCAGAACATGGAAGACCCCCAGAATAAGTCTGAAAAAGCATCTTACCTCAGGTGGAAGGATGGGAAGCCCACAGGCTGCACACTTGGGGGCCAACACCCTGAGAGGGGAAGCGAAGACATAAAATGCATTTTGTGGCATTTCCGGGAGGTAAGACCCAGAATGAGCCTTGGGCTTGGAGCCTGCGTGGCCGTCATTACAGCTGACCCTGCACATCACTCTTCTAGTGAATACCCCAGCCCTCCGAGAAAGAGCCAGCTCCCTCTCCAGGCTGGGCTTTCGGAGTGTTCCCAGCAGTAACAAGCACATTTGGCTCCCTCTCATTCTACTAGGGATAAGGCGACTAACCTATCTGCTTACTCCCCTCACGGGGCCCAGTACAGGCCCAGGCAAACCCAGGGTAGTGGACACGAGTGCCAAATGGGTGCCTTCTGAAGTCAGGTGAAGCTGGAGCCACATGGCTTGGCAGATTCCTCCAAAAGCCAAGCCCGGAATCTGATTATAGGGCTTTTTGGTTGTTTTTTCCAGTAAACATGACTCTTTGACCAGTTCCTGTTTACACTGGATCAACTGACCTCCAGAGGCCCCTGCTACACCCCCAAAATGATGGAGCCTTTGCTGGACTGTGGACTGATGGTACAGCAGCCTGCAGATGCCTCGGAACAGCGCCGAGGTCAGCGTGGGTCACGCGGACACCTCCCCATCCATGTCCTGCCTTACTTGTGGTAATCACGGACACAGTAGATCTTGTTCTCTGAATCCACAGTGAAGGGCACCCCATCCAAACACTCATTACAGATGACACAGCGGAAACAGCCAGGGTGGTAGGACTTTCCCAGGGCCTGCAGGATCTGGGGGCACAAAGGAAGAGGCCAGAGCTCAGCAGAAAGGGGTCGACAGGACAGTGGAAGGGAGAGACACATCAGGCTGAGGGCCATGTGAGCACTCACACCACACAGAACACACTCATCCGAGGTTCACTCAGGCCATGTTCAAGTGATGTCGGGCAGGAAGGGAATCACGTTAGACGCACAAACAGGAGGAAACCACCGAGGATCCTCTCCTGTGCCTCACAGACCTCCAGGAGGGAACTGAGAGGGCTCCCTATCGAAAAACTTTCACAGTTCATTGCAGGGAATTACGTGAACCAGAGCCATGAGAAGATCCATTCCAGATTTGGGAAGCAGCAAATGCATGGGGAGATTAAAGGGAATTTCATGTGGAAGAGGCAGAAGCTCAGAAAAAACCCTTAACTTGTGCCTCATGGGTGCCCCTTCCTGAGCAGTGTTGCCCCTGCAGAATGATAACCCAGCACCTGTGACTCGGACCTGACTATCTCAATCCCAGTGTAAGCAAAGCCTCTCTTCTGTCATTCTCAAACACAGTGAAGCGAAAGCCCCCCACAGCTTCCTCCTCTCAGAACCCTTTGATCTGTATGCAGTATCAGGAACCCCAAGAGACCACCCTAAAACCAGAACGGAGCTGAAACAAGGAGGGTGGGAGAGGGAAGAGATGGAAAGGACATCCTTGGATGTTAGGGAATCACCAAATTAACTCACTACAGAAATGCCTGCCTCCAAACCTCTTGTTAGGTGATAGGAAACATTTCTCCTATCATGTCAACGGGTCTCAAAGTATGGACCTACAGTACCAGCATGACTGGGAATGTGTTAAAACTGCACACCCTCAGGCCCTAGACCAGATCTCCTGAATCAGAGACTCTAGGGTAAGGCCCAGCAATTGGGGTTTTAATAAAATGATTCCAATGCACGTTAAAGTTTGAAAATCACTGGCTCAAGTTAAAGTGAGTCTGGATTTTTCTACAATTTGCAGTTGAGGGCACCTGGGCTGACTCAATACAAGACGCACTTCTGAAATTCCCTGTGACATGACATTTGGCACAAACAACTGAACCATGGAGTCCACACTAGCAAGGTTGCCCCCAACATCCACCACAAGGAATATACAGAATGGTCATTAGCACCCCAGCACGGGGCCATGCGGGAGGCCTTCAAATAGGCAGAAGGAAGGGGACTTGGAACCGAGGAACACCTCGTCAGTGTACCGTGAGAACCATAGGAAGGATGTGCTGTGTTCCAGTTCCTTCTAGGGCCCCGAGGCCACCTCTGGAGGCCAGGGCCACACCTCACACACTGCCACAGGAAGGCAAGTGGAGGACTTGATGTGCTTTTCCAGCTTCCCAGGCTCCTCACTGTCTCCAGTGTCTCCCTAAGCTTTGAGGCCCCTCTCAATCTGTGTACGGAGGAGCACCCGGATGGATTTCCAAAGTCCACTGGCCATCTGGAACTTGGAATCATTCTGCCCCCAGACTAAAGCTGTCTTGCCAGAAAGATACCCTTAAGTTAATTTAAGTCATACTATGCCTAAAGAGTGGTAGGATAAAGATGCCATTTGCTGCATTCTAACTAGTTGCGATAATTTTTTTAACGTGAGAAAATGCCCAGTTCCAATCTGCAAGCCCAGAGTACTCCCCTCTGTTAACAAGGTGGGGGCACAGACAATTTATGCAGAGTTGGACAACTGGTTGATTCTGCTGGAGACTAAAAAGTGGTATCTGAAGGAATCTTCTTCTGCACTATTACAATTCTTGGCCATAGTTAAGGGTTCTGTTTTTAAAACTGGGTGTCACCAGCAGACAGACAATTATTAAAAGTCTGTCTTTATGTTAGCATAAAGCCAGCAGAAATGAGTGTTCATGTCAATTATTAAAAGACAGACAAGTCCCAGAGAAGACCTGCAAGAGTCCAGGTTCAATTTCGCATTATCCTGTGTGGTAGAGATGGTCTCCAAAACCTAATTCCTTTCCTGCCTGCATGTAAGGCTGATGCTCACTCCAGGAAGTGGAGAATCCTTGAATCAGGAATGGTCTTGTGACTTTCTTTCATCAACAGAATGAGGAAGAAAAGATGTTCTGAGACTTCTTGGACAAGGACTTAAGCAGCCTGGCAACCTGTGCCTCCTCTCTCTTGCTGTCAGTCAGTCCACACTAGTCTACCGTGAAGGAGGCTAGAGGGTGAGAGGTCATCTTGGGTGTTCAACTGCTACCAGCTGAACACAGCCACATAAGTGACCCTAGCCAATGCCACACAGAGCAGAAGGATCACCCTGCCCATTCCTGACCCAATTCCTAACCCATGTAGTCATGATAAATAGCAAATCACTGTTGTTTTAAACTACTAAACTATGGGGTGGTTTGTCATGCAGCAATAGACAGAGAAAATACTCTGAGGCCCAAAGAAGGCTTAAGATACCCCAAAATAAGAATAGGGTAAGATTATGTTCATAACTCTGGACATTGTTGATCTCATACATGGCAGGCTTATCAGAGGACTCTAAATCAAGGGCAAATTCCACTAAAGAAATGGATCCCTGTGGATCCAGGCAAGTACTTGGGGAAGGCAGGGGTGAGGGTGTGTGGCTCCTGCCTGCCTCCCCTGGGGGAACTGGTGGAACTCGCTTTCCTCCCGCACAAATGACTTGCCCAGGGATGGGCATGTGGCCCAACAAGAGCCCGTGAGACCCCCAGAGACGACAGGCACCCAGGCCCATCAGATTTGAAACTGAAGAAATATAAACTCTTGAGTGCTACCATTATAGAGTGCCTGAACCTAGAGCTTGCACAAAAACCACCTCTCACGGGGCTAAGCTCTGCAGTGGCATGGCACAACCCAGACAACAGCAGGTTCTCTTCATGACAGAGAAGGCTCTGGGTCACTGGACTTTACATGTTAGCATAAAGCCAGCAGAAATGAGTGTTCATGTCAAAAGATGTGCCTAAGAGTGCTTGCAGAAGTTTTATTCATAAATAGCCCCAAACTGGAAACCACCCCAAGCCCCATCAGCAGGACAACAGATAAACCGCTATATCCATACAATGGAATTCTACTTAGCAAGGAAAATGAATGAACTACTGACACAGCAAACAACATGGATGAATCTCAGAAACATTTTTCTAAGTGAGAAAAGACAGACCCAAAGGAGTCTAGACCATATAATTCCATTTACATCAAGTTCCAGGATCACCAAAACAATCTGGCACAACAGTGGTCAGAACAGTGGGTACCTTTGTGGGAAAGGGAGCCTGGACTGGAAGATACGGAACCTCTGGGTGTGGTATGTGAGAAATGTTCTGCGTTTTTATCTGGGTGTGGTTACATGGGCAAATGATACGTAACAATTCATTCAGCTGTACACTTAAACGATGTGCACCCTTTATGAGTTGCTTTTCAATAAAAAGGTAAAATATATTAAAGAAATTCTTAAAGGACAATCTCCAGTGGTGAACAAGTGGATCCCCGAGACAGAATAAGAATTCTGTATGCATGAATCTCACGACCACACCCTATACGGAGGCCAGGAAGGAAAACTTGTCCTGATTAAAGAGATAAAGATACTGAGGCCCAAGACAAGCCCAGAAAGCCAGTGGCTGAGCAAGGACCAGAATATATGAAATCTGCTCCTTGTTCCATTCTCACAGACTAATGACAGGCCCCAAAACTCAGGAACAAACTGAGTCTGGCAGAACATGGGGGAAAAAATAACTGAGTTTATCCAACTTTCTGCACCCAAATTCAAGACAGGTGAGATTTCTGCGATAAAAACAGGCTCTATTTGCCATCTTACCTGGGATTGCACAAAACCACAGAAAATCAGAGGAAGGTTGGATGCTCCCACCAGTAAAAGCCAATCATGTGAGTTCTACTAGAGCCAGCAAACTGCATTCCATAAGGTCTTCTTTTAGTGAACTATGCATAGCCACAAATCAAGGTAGAAAACACTGTGATCAACTGCTAATTTCTTTTTTCTCTGAATGCCTCCTCTTCCCACCATGCTATCATCTTGGTAAGCTGCCCCTACTCACCATGTCCATGATCAGATGTCCACAAAGAAAACACCTGTCAGCAGACTGCTGGAAACCAGAGTACTGCAGAGGAAAGAGAAAAGAAAGTTAAATCCAGGTAGAGCAGATGAATCCAGCCACTTCCCCACCAGTGAAAATTACAAGAAATTTCTCACTCTGTACAGAAATCTGTCATTTCCCTGAAGACAGCATGTCCATGTGATGAGTCATATCGTATCTCTACCACAAAAGTCATCAAAATACTAACACCACTTGCCCCAGCAACTGTGCCTGGGCACTGATGACATGACAGGCTCTGAGAAAGGGGCCATGCATAGAAGACTTTAATCTCTGATCCAGTGCATCTCATTCCTTGAGTCCTAGGAACCTGTAAGAAATGCAAATTCTTGGGCTCCACCCAAGAATTGGAAACTCAAGGGGTGGGACCTGGCAATCTGTTTTTATAAGCCCTTCAGGGGACTGTAATGTATGCTCAAGTTTGAGACCACCACTCTAATCCTTAGAACAATTCTGCAATTACACCATTTCTCAAATGGAAGCTCAGAAAGGTTAGGTGAAGTTCTCAAGGTCACACAGCCTATAAGACTTAAGGGTAGGATTCAAATTGAAGGCTGACTGTGGCTAAAAAGCTAATGCCTTTTATAGCTAGTTTCAAAGAAACTTGATAAATAGCATCTCCTTTACCTTACCAACACACATACAGGGTGGAATCCTAAAAGAAATGAGGAACTCTCTTCAGGAAACACAGTAGATACTATACTCTGGAAGATACTAGAAGTTTAGATATTGTAAACAACTTATTTGGAGAAATGTAATGAAAAGGAAGGTGGAGAACAAAGAAAAAGGAAACTTTCCTCAACTCCACACCATGAAGTATAGGTTTCTGCTGCCTGGCACCCCTTCCCATTCTAGGGGTAACAGTTCTTTATTTTCACTTGGGGCCTAGCCCCACCCGCATCCCATGGTCCCCAGGATTCTTGTGGGGCTGACCCCACGCTGGGTTCCAGGCAGGGCCCTGACTCAGACCTGCCAGGCAGAGCCTCGCTTTCCTCCCGCACAAATGACTTGCCCAGGGATGGGCATGTGGCCCAACAAGAGCCCGTGAGACCCCCAGAGACGACAGGCACCCAGGCCCATCAGATTTGAAACTGAAGAAATATAAACTCTTGAGTGCTACCATTATAGAGTGCCTGAACCTAGAGCTTGCACAAAAACCAAAGAAAAAATGACACCTGAGGGAATTGCTGGAACGATCCTTTTTGGTTCAGCCAGTTCGGGTTTACTTGTCTGTTACTGGCAAACACAGTCATAATGAATCAAACTGCACATCTACCAGGAAGCTAGCCCCAAGCCATCTCTGCATCTCCCATTCCTCATCCCTGAGATGCAGGGCTTGGCACTGTGTGACAGTCTGATGGTGGAAAGGAAAGGATGTGCATTCTTCCGGTCAGGAGCAGGGGGATACCTTGTAGGTGGGCAGTGGGCATCATGCAGGGCGCTAACAGACCTGCCAGGGCAAGCCCCAGTGGGGGGTGGGGGTGGGGCAAGGAGCACCAACCGAGTCATCCAGGCACAGCAGGGGAAATGCACAGGCTAAGGCACAACGCTGTGCGGGTGTGCAGGTGGCCAGCAGCAGAGCGAGCTAGACACACGCTGGGAGCCAGGCAGGTGAGGACCACTGGGAGCTTCTGCACATGCTGGAACCCTGGCAACACGGACCTGGGCAGCCAGGATGACATGCAGGTGGTGTGGACAGCCCTGACAAGCCACAAGGAGGCCATGGTGGCAGAAGGCTCAACGCTTGGCTGAATTACGGGAGAGACAGGAAAGAGGAGGGCTGGAGGATGGAGGACCAGCCTAGGTCACAATTCTCGGCAGCAAGGACCCAAGGCAAGGCGGTGTTGCCGCCTAGACAAGTGCAGTGTGAGGAGCTGGAGGCAGCCCTGGGACCTGGCCAGTGAGCAGCAGGCTGGCAGCCAGCCTGAGGTGCTGGGCAAAGCGGGAGCTCAGACCTGGGAGCCACTGCACACGATAGACTTCCAATGGGTGGGGGAGGCTGAATTCCCACTGAAGACAGGCAGGGTAAGAAGTAACAGAGGCCTGGATCCCAGTGCAGAGGTTTAAGATAATGGGTGGAGTGGGCAGACATGGGCAAAGCCACGAGAGAACAGGAGAGTGACCCTAAGTCCCTTCAAAACACAAAGCTCTGTGGTTTGTCACTCGCCCTGAGAATATGGTCCACTCATGCATCTGTAGAAGGAAAGCCAGGACGCCTTTCTTAGGCAGCACAGTTTCCCAGCGATGCTGGGGATCACGAGAAAGCACCCTCTTCTGCCTGGTCCCAGCCTCCACATACCCCCAACCCTGACTCTGGTCAGGACTGCAAACAGGAGACAAACTCACCAGGAAGTCTTCCTCACAAAACACTTTGCCATTGACAAAATAAAAGGCTTTTCCTCTCAGCTTCCGGCCTAAGGAAAAGACACAAAGGCGGGTAAAAAGAAAATGTTAATAAGCAGTAAACATGCAAAAAGTGCCAACTGTCATAACAGCCTCTGGCTGCTGAAAGCTGTGGGTGGCTCTGGCAATGGGCAGGCTAGGCCAGGAGATAAGGCCCTGGTGGTGCTACTTGGCAGGAAGACCAAGCGGGTCTTGGGAATCACCCCACACCCACTGTTTGCAATTCCTCTGCAGAGAAAGCGGCCAGAGAGACATCTGGAGACCAATGGCAGAGGCACATACAAGCAGAGGCACCGGGCAACAGTCTCTTGTGAAACGGCTGCTCCCACAGGCATTTGGGACTGTGACCTTTGATATGTTCTCCAGGGATGCTGGGGACAACCTATAGGAAAGTCGTATAAATTGGGCAACTCTTCTTTTCATCTGAAGTATAGAAAATATATGTTGTTGGAAGGATAATGATTTTTCTTGTTTTCTCTTAATTTAAATGTGGTGAGCAAGAATAGGAAAAATTAAAAGCACCCAGCCTCTCTAGATGTAACATCAGTTTCCATAAAGGTAGGACACCAACAGAATAACATAATTTATCAATTCCTTTGATCCCTTAGGAAAAAACACAATGGCCCACATGTTCAAGGTAAGCGTGAGCACCTTCATGAGACCCCGGATTTGCATTCCCATCTCTGAGAACATATGCAGTGCCAGGCACAAAACAGACCCAACAGACACCATGGGAATTTCAAAAACTGAATGAATCCTAAATATCAGTGGAATCAAGGCCCGTGGAACCAGGGTCCACACATGAAGCTTGAATCACCAGTGTCACAAACACTCACAGCGCTGGGGGTGCAAAGAGACCCCCACAGCGGCCCCTGAGCATCCTTGCCTGGTACCCCCCAGAGCAGGCAAGGAGCACAAGGTGGTGGAGAGGACACCGCTGACGCAGACTTGGGGAGCTCAGAGAGGCCTCTGAGAGCACTGACGCAGAGGAAAAGCCGCAAAAAAGGAAGTCAATTTAACTACAAAAGCAGAACAGTCCAGATGCATTAAAGACCTCAGTGTGAAAAATAAAAGCTATTTTAAGAAAATCCAGGCAACTGTCTTTGACCTTGGCATGGAAAAGAGTTTCTTAGGTAAGATATAAAAAGCACACCTTGTAAAAGTAAACACATAAATATGACATCAAAAACCTAAACTTGTATTCAACAAAAACTACATACACAAAGTTCAAAAGACAAAACTGCTGAAAAGCCAAAATGCTCCTCAGCAGGAAGATAGAGGGAGGGTTGGGCTGGTGGACCTGAGGCGACGTGGCAGAATAAGGAGCTGGAGGAGGCAGAGAGTGTACCCCTGGCCACGGGTGAACATAGCTGCAGACCGGGGGGCTGGCTGGAGGTAGCGGTTAGGAGGGAATGCTGGAGGCTCTGAGGCTGGCCATCCACTTTCTTGTCTGTCACCCACTTAATAGGAAGGCCCCCCCTTCTCCTGGCCGGGCAGACCATTCTGTGTGTGCCAATTGTTGCTGCCAGATACATTGCTGTCCCTCTTCCAGCCCTCTGAGTGCTCCCTACCGAACTTTTTTTTTTTTCCACAGGAAACTATGTTTTATTAGTTAAGTTTAGGTTCCCTAAGCAGGGGTTTCCCATTTTATTCTTAATTTGTTAGGTGACCCTTAGTGATGGTT